AACCCGTGGCAACAAGCAAAACCGGGGGAAAACATAGAAGAAACTGTCGCTCCAAAAAACAGTAAACGCGTCTTCATTAGATGCCTCCGGATCTGGAAACTAGGAAATAAACTTTCTGCATTTCTTACTTAGGCGAGAAGCAAACAGTTCGATTTATGGGAATCCCAATTTGCTTCTTATTTTAGCAAAAGCATTGTCCGAAAGGTACCATTCACCATCAAAATTCAAATTCGTGAATTCCTTATCCACTTCAAAATTATCGGAAGATCGAATGTAAGATGCTTTAACCCATAACCTCCTTTCTTCACACCAACCTCAAGGCGCCTCGAAATTTCGCTTAAAACAGGAAATTTTACTCCCCCTATTCTATTTACATACAAAATAGTAGTTGTGTTATCAACCCTCAAAAGTGCCTCGCAGTTAGTCAAATAGGAGGCGAAGCATTAGGGACCGAATGAGGCCGCAGTTAATTCTAATGCCTTAATATGAAGCTGAGCTTCCCTAGGACTCCAAAGTTCTCTGGCACAATTCCCTTGGCATACAATTCCCCAACCCAAAGGAGTACCATCTGAGAAAATCTCAAGTTCGTAAAATTGCTGCCTTACAGGGCATTCAGGATTCTGTCAACTTTTTAGCCACCATATAAAATCCCTCCGTAAAGTACAAGGAATTATCATCCAAGTATCATAATTATCGACAGAGTCTTGAAGGGTTAGATATTTGACTCTCTCAAAAATTCTTAGTATATACCCAACTGTAAGAAACTGCTGGGCAAACTGAAAACTAGCACACCACAAAGCTCGGCAAAGACTCTTATTTTGCAACGGTTCAAATTGCAAAACTTACTCATCAGAAAAACAAGTGGTGGGATTCAAAAAAACAAAACCTAAAAATTTAAAAATTTAAAAACCTAATCAGTGTATTGCAAGTTACTTGAACATTTTTTAAGGCTAGCTAACCAAATAGTAAAGTTAACTAAATAAACTATTGAGGGAAAAGTCTTGGCAGGGAGATAAGAAACCACAGATTTCATTAATTCTGTAAAGACGCACGGGGCGGTGCATAAACCAAAGGGTAACACGTTAAACTGATAACAGAGAGCATCAAAATAAAATCTTAGAAAATTCTTTTGATTTTCAATTATTGGGACTAGAAAGTAAGCTTCTTTCAAGTCCAAAGTGGCCATAAAGGATTTCCTTGTGAAGAGTGTTTCTACTAATTTTCTGTCTTCAAGTTAAAAATGACAAGTGTCAATAAAAGCATTCAGTTTCTTTAAATTTAAAACTAATCAAACCATCCCATTTTGAAACCAAAAAGATCTGTGAAATAAATTGATTCTTACAAGGTTCGCAACCTGCAATTGCACCTATCTCTACCAGGTGTTTGACCACATTACAAATTGAATCTTTTTCTTGTTGGGACCAAACAGGATCTGTCGTAATGAAGTCCTGTATAACTGGCCTCGCAAATACTCGTGCAATCTTTCAACAAAAGTACTTACTATTTTTTCCTGGGGACACAACTCCTCCCCCTTTCCTCTCGAACCTTCCTGTATTCCCTCTTTTGAGGGTACAATGACTTTCACCCACTTCAGCCTTGGAACTTCCGGGAACGAAGTGGGACGGTTGAGTTTAAATTCGTATGCTATAAAAGCCTTGTTCTGTAATCTGCAGCTAATCTGATTGATTTGAGCCTATCGGCCAATCCTCTCCAAATAAACAAGAGTGCAAAGAAGCATCAACGAGCACTTCCTTCATACAAGGCTGCATTTCATTTGAGACCAGCGAAAGGCTTAACGCGGTTGAATTTCTATATACTGAACCTAAATGGTGTATTTTGCTTAAAACAAATATTGCATTACTCAACGTTTCGATGAGAAGTAAGTACTACTCATCCTTAAGGATTGCTTCCAATTGTGAAACACTTAAATACGCCACCAAAGCACAAAAAGAGGAATGAGGGTAAGACCATAGATGGCGAATATACCGTGCATGGTAAGTTATTCAACAGTTTTTTGGCTTTGCTTTAAACCTGTGGTGCCACCTAGCGACTAGAAGGGGGACTACGTATATTGATTTCATAAAAGAGGTGTAACATATATGGTGGACTCTGAACTGGTAGAATTTAATTTCCGAGAACATCTGATGCATACAGCATCAATGTATTTTGGTTTTGACTTTCATACCATATCTCAAGAACTTGAGTAAAAGGAGGATCTGTTGGATATTATTGAACGATGCAAGACCCTTTTATGTTCTCTGGCCGAACAGATTCAGAAAAGACTTCCGGATAATTTATCCTTGTTGAAAACTATTGCTGATTTGCACCAAGAGTAATAATAATATTAATAAGCAATAAAATATGGATGAATACCTCTTCTTCAGCTGATTTTTATTTTGAAGTATATAATGATTGTGACGCAACTGGCTGTAAACGTTTTGAAAATATTTCAAAGTTCGAATTAGCATTTGCCACTGTTCCAATTTGAAACGCGAGTGTCGAACGTGCATTCTCCCTCTATAATGTCATAAAAAATAAGTTGCGGAATAGACTGTCCATTAAAATGTTGCAAAGCATCTTGATGGTCCGATTTACGTTAAATTGAAATAGTGGATCGTGTACAGCATTTAATGAATGCACTAAAATGTTAAATTAATTCAATGTCAATATGTATGACTTCAAAAAAGTGAAGCTTCAGATGAAGAAATATTTCATGTATTAAATAATTTACAATAAAAAATCTTTTGAAACATATTACAAAATATTATTTCTAAATCATTATGAATTTATAATTACACTAATTACAGTAGACGCTCTTGGCTCTATAATGTTACGTTTTTAAAAGTTGGATCTTGGATCTAGCAAGGTCGTATTCTAGTATAGGGCCATACCCGAAGTTAATTTTGTAGCTGCATTTTTTCGAGTTCTCAGTACAAACAGCGTTACCAAGAAAAAGTGACCAGCCACTAACAAGACTTTAAGAATCTGTTTTTCTAAATTTTCTCCTTCTAGCGTCTTTATTCAAACCTGGAAAATCAAAGGTTTAGCAACCTCTGATTTATTATCCTCGAAAGCATTATGTTGTTCGACGTCCCACTTACGTCGCAGGAGTAGGGTTAGGAATTGTTATTCAGCCATGTTAGGTACGTATTCCCTTAGCTAATTACATGTTCCCAGAAATGATTGTGCAGTCACATGTTTGTTTTGGGGTCTATTGGTTTCTTCCAACGCAATTTTGCATCTTGACGGTGAGAGATGAAAATTATGCAGTCTCAAACGTTCCAGGACCAAACATATATGTGGGAAGTGTGAGGAGAAAATAATAATGTCATCCAAGTAGACACTCACAAAATCACCGACAAAACCAGCAAGTACCTCGCTATGAGTCTGAAATGTTGCCGGAGCAACTTTTAATCCAAAAGGCATAACGTTTAAGTAGTATCGGTGAGCATTGGGAGTACACAAGGCGATGCATTTCTTTGAATCTGCAGAAAGCGGTACTTGCCAATATCCACTTTTCAAATCAATGTGGTCGAGATTTTAGGCATGTCCCGTAGAATAGTCTTTTGAATTGTTTTATGTTCTTTCAGTCGGATACTGTGTTGAGTAGTAGTTGTCGTAGGTAAAAATTGAAAACAAATCCGAAAATTCCATAAAGAGTGATAGTAGTTCTTCCTTATATTTTTCCGGGAAGATCAACAAACAGGCACTTTTTTCTTAGTAAACCTTGAAGGTGGACCGTCGTTTCAATATAAAGTTTTTTGTTACTTCCAGCATAAATGCAGTTTCTGAAATAGTCTATAATAACATTATTCTCTTTAAGAAATGGAGATCCAAGAATAATTTCTTCTTTGAATTCAAAGATGAGTATTGATGAGGTATAGTCCATGTTATGTAGGGAAAATGTTGGAGGCAAAATAGAGGTACGAATAATGTTGCCCAGAATCAATTAAGGCGCTGTAGTAATTTTCAATTTTTATTGTTATCAATATGATTAATAAGCAATGTGTTTATATGCGACAGAAAAAGTGAGACCTCGTGCTCTCTCTCGGAAATTGGATCCACGCTGGTAGGGGAATTTAATTGTTGTTGGTTCTGTGTGAACCAACAATTCTCTGTCGGTTTCCCTGGTTTTGTTCCCTATAATATGGAATTTGTGGGTAATCTTTTTTGAAAATGCATAGCATTACAAAAGGTGTATGGGGAGGAAGATTCACTAGCATTAACCAAATTAGAATGATTCCTTTGAGTGGTATTATGACCGTTAAACATAGGGGGAATATAATTATTTTGCTTTATCTCTTGGAAATCACTTTCTACTTGGGTAGCAATATTTGCAAGTTCCTCTGTACTCGTATATTCACAGGGAGTGAGTTGAACAGCCCCAAATTCAGATTTTCTGAGATCCAGGATTGTTGAAGCCTTCATCTTTTCTGAAATAGTTCGTATTAGCCGTTGGAAAAGCCCAACTTTCTTAGAAATGAAAACAACAGGTTCATTGTTCTTCTCCTCTCCGTATAAATTGGTTGTCTGAGCTATAGCACTTGTACAATTAAATTTATTTGAAAATCTGCCCTGGAAAGCGGCATAACTTAAGTCGAAGGACTCATATGGTTCCACCCAATTCGGTGCTGGACCCCGAAGACGAGTTATCGCAAAATTAACAATGTCAACGCTAAAAATACTGCTTCAATTGCTTCAAAAATAAACAGCGATCTTCATAGTCATAATCGTAAAACAGAAGTGGTAAAACAGGATATTGGTGTTTATTTGTGGAGTTTATTTTATCTAAAACAGATAAAAATGCGGAAGATATAACTTTAATGATATTTTCTGTGGTTGTTGATCAGGAGCGCTTTGCTACGTCCGCTAAATGCGATCAATGTTTAAAAAGAAGAAAGGAAGTCAACATAGCCTAATCACGTGACATATGTTATGCTACTATTCCCGAATCTACTGTGGTTTCCAAGATCCCTGCACCAAACAAAAAAAAAACTAGCCCTGTTTATATATTATCCAAAACTTTATTAAACAGGTGGGGTATAATAACTAACTGTCCATTACATTATGCCGAGGAATGAAACTTAATTCCTCTTTTGTATAATATTCTGAATCTTCTGCCACTCCCTGTCCAAATGGGCCTTCTCGTTTTTGTCCTTGTGCTTCCTCGACCTCCTCCCGTCGGCCATCTTGAGCCCATACTGGAACGCCGCCTTTGGCAACGCCTCCTTCTGGTTCATGTAATCCGAATATTCTTCGGCCGTATCAAAGTCCCACCGACCAATAGGTCCCTTCTTATTTCCGAGATCCATCTTGGAATAATCCACTTCGTCGTCGCTATCGTCTATGGCGTCGTTCATTTCTTCCAGTCCTGGATAACATTCCGCGTAACCCTCGGGCTCCTGCTGTAACTTACTCAGAATCTCCGCGGATTTGTTCACCCTGTAACTAGGGGCGGTGTTATCCACCGACTCCCTGTGATCCTGCTTGTCAAAGTACGAATTGTTGTGCTTCCGACTCGAATCCCTATCCCGGTGCTTTCCACGACTCGGCACATACTCTCCGATATCCCCGTAGATAGAGTCGTCCACGTGGGACCTTTTGGGGGGCCTCTTCCCTTCCGCCTCTTCTTCTTTTTCGTCCTCTTTCGTGTCCGACACGCCCCTCTTGTTTTTATTCTTCTTGCGGCTGCCCTGCCTTAGATAGCTGAGAATCTGCGTGAGCTTGTTGATCACTATGTCGTTAGTGGTCAGCATCGTCGTCAACTCAAACGAGGGCACCTCGTCCAAAGAACGGAAAAGAGTCGTCGGGATATCAGTCTCGGCTTCGTCATCTAGGATTAAAAAAAAATCGAGACTCATTTATAGGCTGCCATCTGTGATTGGAGGAACTTAAATCTTAAACAGGAGGTCCACGCACACAAGCCTCGGGCTTCCAATTGCTTAATAATAACTATAGTCGGCGAACAACACGGCCTTAAATTTTTTAATTTTATTTTATTTAAACAAAAAGTATATCTAACAGGTATATGAAGCCCAACTAAGAGGTAATTCGCAGTAGAAATCGGTATCAAAATTGCAGAGAAATTGGATGAAATAATTACATCACAAAACTTAACCTAAAATCTCACCTAATATAAGCGTCAACTATAATAAAAAAGAACAAGAGGAAAAGGCAATAACGTCTTTAATTTATTAATAGATTGCGGGAAAAAATGGTAATTATGGCGATTACGAAGAGACATATAACCAAATTTATTTAATAATATTGCATGCGAAAAGCTTTATCCTTATACCATACGTATTTTCCCTGGGCCTTTTTGACATGCACATGTTTATTAGTTTCTTACATTACAATGGGGCTGATTGAAATGCTTTACTGTTTTCTTATATATGAATAAATTCATAGAATTACCCAGGATAAACTAATCGGTATAGGGTATTCCCAGTAAAACCAAAAGATTTTTTATTAAATTCATGAAATAATATATGCAAAGAGAATCCGGTAGTTGAAAGGGGTGCCAATTTTTAATATCTTTGATATAGTCTACTTGAAACGTTCTTGTTTTGTAAATTGAACTGTATCTATGTGTCTGTCCAGTGTTTGCTAAAATGCTGAAAACTAACTTTTGCACAGCTTGTTTGAAATATTTAAGTACAAACCACATTTCCCCCCCTTTTTTTTTTTCTAATATAAAGTGTTTTTTGGTACAATTGGAAATTTTGGCTTTTATAAATTACACATCCAAGTACATTATTGGTAGTTAAAGTTACCAATTTTAAAGCCGACATACCGCATAAAATACTAGGCAACCCCAATTCAAGATCATTTTTGACAAAATATTGTAAATTGAACATACTGGACGAACCAACTGTACGTAAAGGTAGTGTTGATGTAATTTATTAGCAAACTATAAATGGCATTAAATAAAATGATTGATTGGAGTCTTAGGGGAAGCCAATGAATCCGATAATTAGGCTTGGTCCTATTTAATTGCATCAAATCAATTGGGAAAAACCAACAATTTAGGTGAAACCAGATGTGATCAAGAAACATTAACAAACATTTTTTTATCCAAAAACAGTGTTCCGACAGAAAAATCATATTTCTTTTATTGGATGCTGACCCTATATGTCTAAAACAGCACAAAATTTAGAAATATTTTATTCTAACGTATTTCATCTTGTACAAAAGTTATCAAGTGATCGAAAATCTAAAAGACTCATCTGCAACTTTAATAAATGGAAATACTTTTTTTTCTAACCGGACAGTGAAAGAAAATTTAATATTTATTTTTGCAATTGCAATGCATTTAAAATAAAATAAAAATACTTTTATTACGTTTTTTTTATTTCACTTGTATTAATTCAAATACGTCTGTGGTATAGGTTAAAAATTATAGAATTTCTGAATGTTCTCAATTTATCATAATAAAATGCATGCATAATAAAAATGCAGAAAACTGACGTCAAGATCTTTACCAATGTCATTAATGAAGATGTTTTAATAATAATAATAATAGAGATAGCCATACCGAGTGGAAACTAAGTTTTATGAAAAAATTGCGGCAGACAAAAAACTTTTCAATAAACCCGTCTACCGAATATTATTTTTTTCCATGCCATTGCGTCAGTTTTTCTTTAAATTTAGTTAAGAATGATCGGGACAGTCTAATTCAGTCGCCTTCACTCACTTTAAAAATATGCAGAAAATATGTGGTATTCTTTTATTTATTTTAGTTTTTAAGACAAAAAAAATAAAAGCATTAGTTTTCCGCCATATTTGTAGCGCCCTAAACAGGATATTCCTTTTGGGATTTCGGGATATTTAAGATCACTGAAATTTTTTAAGTTAAATATAAAATCCCCATGGCTGGTCAAAAAGGACCAAACAAAGGTTACAATTTTGAAATCGCTTGGGTGTAGGAGACAGTTTCGGAATTGAGCAAGTAGATTGCGAATAGTTAGTAGGGAAAAACCTTAATAATCTATATTAATTTGACAAATAAGAAAAATGATTGATGGTATTCAAATGTACACTGCATCCCAAATTCTCTTTCTCGTTGTCCTGAAACTGTTGAAAGACACACAACACTTCTAATTTGGATATTGGACAACTTTAAAAAAATAATAATAATAATAACGCGCAATTCATGACTCAGAGACGAAATGTGCAAATGGGGTGTCAGGTGCATCTAAACATGAAACAAAACAGTTGCTTAGCAGAATTAATATTTCAAAGACGTACTCCACACCAAATAAACATGCGTTTAAAGGACGCTCATTATGATACAGTGTTTTTTAAACATTGTTATTTTTTTATACCTCTGCCCACCCAGCACTTCTATCCTATAAAGATTGTAATATGCATATATTCAAAAATCGTCGCTATTGACTCTATAGAGATATGTGGAATTTTTGGATGTTAAAACGTTTTACGAATTTGCGTTTTGTTCATTGTCATTTCTATAATTTCATAAAAATATAATAATATACCGCATGTTTCAAATTCGATTCTCACCATTAGGATCTCGGTAACGGTAAGAAATACCGGGTGACTTAAATTAGGGCAAAGTTGCGCATCGGTGAATTCGATAATGTTCCGTTTTAAAATTGAAATTATTTTTATTACTTCCGGAATTTTGGCGTAAAATCTGAACCTTCCGGTTTTCGTTTTTATTTTTTTATGTCTTTATTTTAAAGCTTAGCAAAAATCTGTAAATTATGGTCGCCATATTGGATTTATGCAGTGTTGAATAGCCGGTATTATTACTGTTATTGTTATTGATATCACAAGTTTTATTTGGGTCCCTCAAATACGAAACATTGAACAAAAATTTTTATACTATTGTAAGCTCTGAATTTTCAAATCTGTCGATAACATTTAAATATCTAGTGCATTGTTGTGTCGTTAAAAATGGACTTAGAACGATAGAAAGGGAGTCCAGGCACCGGAAAAATATTTCTTCTTCTTCTTCCTTACTTCTAATGGCCACAACTACATAAGGGCATTCGGCCAGCTTACGACAAGTGTGAACATTATTCAAAAATCCTAAAGGATGCCTTCATAAAAGAAGGGTCTGGACATTTCATCATCCTCCAGGCGCTTTGACCGATTGAAAAAAACAGTGGAGCCGACGACTACAACTTTAAGACATGCACTAAGCAATAAGAACATTAAATCCACACAGTGGAAGCTGATTTCACGTTTTTGTGGGACGATTACAAGGGATTCTTTCGAGAGCGACTGGAGGTCTATTTCAACTTTTAGCAACCGTTACCGAGATCCTAATAGAGAGAGTCGAATTTTATACACCCAGAATAATATTTCTATTTGTTTATCAATGGTCGTAAAATCAGCACATTTAGCAGAGTTAGTTAGTTGATTCACTCTGTTACTCACTTTATTTTATTTGTCGCTGTTAAAATTTTGCAGCAAAATTAAATTAAAAATGCAAACAGAACATATTTTGCGGTTAGGTTAGTTCACTTCATGGCAGCTGGCAGTCACAGAGAAATTAAGAAGGCGTTATGTGCTCTATTTTCCTGCAAATTTTTGGTTAGTTTCTGTTATGCACCATTAGATTAGAGTCAAACATTTTACACTTTCTTTAAATTAAAGTCTCATGTCAGTTGGGTTTCCATGAGTAAATGAAAGGTATCTATCGATATTTCATATATTATAGTGATATGCAGATATGTACCCGTTTATATGGTATGTTATTTTGTGGTCATGATTAAGTTTTATAATTTGTGTGGTTATTAAAATTTGCTTGTGCATGCAATAAAGATTATTTGTTATTTTTATTTCCTATTTAACATACCTAAATCGATGACGTAAGCCATTCGGCCAGGCATGAAGAGTTCTGACCTCTCTATATGCCTTGACTTCAACACTTGCACGGTGTGGTAGATGGACCGGCCCAGCTTGGTCTTAAATTTCATCTCCTCCTCTTCCTTCTTCATCATTTCCTTGCGCTCCTTTTCCTGCTTCTTCTTCTCCTCCGATTCATTTGCCAATCGCTCCAATTCTTGCTCCTGTTCGATTTCCTTCTGCGTTATCTCACTGCGCACCTTCTGCAGCAGAGCATAATCCAAGCCCTTCACCAAGTGAGTGTGCTCCATGTCTCCGCCCAAAAACTTAGACTCCTGGATCATCTGACGCCTCCTTTCTGCAGCGTCGTAACCAGATTTCAAATCTGGGGCCACCGCTCTGTACGCTTGGGCCGTGGCCACGGGATCGTCCACCTGATAATCCGGATTCACGCCCTTGCGCCTCTCGCTCGCCCTGTCGCGATATTTCTCGGCCAGCTCCGCGATCTTGTTGTCTTCCTGCTTTTTCAGTTTGGCGTAGTAGCTTTTCTTCTTACGTCTCGCCTCGTTTTTGTCGTCGATTTTCGGGGGCGGCATCGGGTTCTGCATCGCCTCGCGGATGGAGCCCGGGGGCGCGGGAGCATTCGCCGGGGTCGACCGCGGGGTCATCAAAAGTTTTCGGAAATCGTCATTGGAAAGGCGCTGCGAGCCCGGTGTCTCTGCCCCCGTCTGCGGCATTTTTTACGGTCACGAAAAAGTCGTTCGATGTAATTAGTTGATCAACAAAAATATTAAAATTAAATAGCCAGGAAATCGCTATTTTGACAGATGCACTGCGTCCGTTGAATCATCTTCTTTACGCGCGTGGCTCAAAGCATCAAAGTTATTCGACTAACCGTGGAATGTCGAACTGCATGGTAGGTCGGGGCTTGTCTGTCTGGAGTAGAGTTGTGTCAATCGCGATTGATTCGATCACTTTGATTCAATCACTTCATAGGATCGAACGACCGATTCCCGCTTGTTTGTAACGATTTGATTCCCTTTTTCGCACTCGCTGCTCCCCTAAGCGGTCTGAAGTGACCGAATACAGGACGACCGATCCATGACCGATTGGTCGACCGAATTTGTCGGAATGGCGTTTGAATGGTTTAAGATTTAAATGCATAACTGGGGTCACGGGAAACGAATGGGAGTATTGTTATAATTATTCTATAGTATTGAGTTGTGACATTGATCTGTAGATTTGCTGATGTGTTGACTTGAATATTGAATGAAATATCTATTTCCACATAGGTATTTAATTTAAACAAATTAAAGTATTACTGGTACAACCCAATACGTAGCCCCTATTTTGATAAAATCATGATTTAATAAAAACCAGAACATATCTAAATATTATACTAACTAGAACAGAAAACATAACATATAGACACAACAATAATTCGGATTCAACGACTATTGACGCTTATGTTGGCATCAAAAAGTATTGAAATGAACGATTGAAATGATCCGGTCCTTTTCGAAATCGATCACTGATTGATTCGGTCCTCGTAAAATGAACGATTGGCACAACACTAGTTTGGAGATGTCGAGGGGTAGAAGAGGTCGACACAGTTGAAATAGTTATTAATTTATTTTTATATTTTCTAAGGATCCATTATTACCACGACAACGGGCTACGGTATGGTGCTCTGTTTTATAAATAACCATAAAATTAAAAAAAAAAGTCTTTCTACTTAAAATTGCATTTTAAGATTTTAGGGCAATCTTGCATATTAATTTACTGTAAGGATTGCACAACCACGTTGCTCTATGGAGACAAGGTTTAAAAAAACAGGTAAGTCGTTCTTGGAATCCGTTAACTTTATAGTTTTGGAAAAAAGGAGGTGTTATACGTAAAGGGCTAGTTTCAAGATTAAATTGCTTTTATTTTCACGAAAGTATTTTTAACTCTCTAAATATTAACGCCCATTAAATTCTTTTGAACAGTAAAATTGTTAAAGACTGAAGAAAAATAGAACAATTCAACCTTTGGCATTATAAAACATTTAAAAAATTGAACCATTTTAAAATTTTCTCTTTTTTTTTGTATCCACTCTGTATAGAATGAATATTTTTCTACTTCCGTCTGCAAAATACCTAATTATGCACAGATCTAGCGTGCGGGAAGGGTCCCTTTAACACATCAGTTTCGTTTTCCACGAATCCTAGCAACTTCGGACATTTTCGGGATTTTACCGCACGGGTTTGGGAGCAATTGGATGTTTGAATTTGAATTTTGACGTTTTTCAATTCTGACAGTCATGTCACTGAATGTATTCGTGTTTTGCGAAAATGTACTTAAAAACTATCGGTCGTAGGAAAAGTATTGAATTTTGACGTTTTTAAATTCTGACAGTCATGTCACTGAATGTATTCGTGTTTTGCGAAAATGTTTTTAACTCACTCGTTTATTAAAAACTCGCTCCGCTGCGCTCCGCTCGTGTCAAATAAACTCATGAGTCAAATGTCGTTTACCGCACTTGTTGCATAATATACTATTATCTGTTTGTTTTTTTCTGTAACTGTTTTTATTAATTATTACTGTGATGAAAGTTATTTGGGAAATGTCACCATTCTCCGTTCATATTTGTTGTATATTTAATTTGTATAGAATTAATATTTTCTGAGTATTCTACATTGAATATATATTTTGTTCTCATAACCGTTATAAAATATTTTTCTGATGGTTGCTTGACATAACATAACGTATTTAAACGGAGCCGAAAATGTTTAACCGATATTATAGGAATTTCTTTTATCGATACACCGGATCTGCCATCCGGAAATAGTTGCATTGGTCTATTTAGTGCTTTCAAGTTTTTATATTCGGTTTGTACCTCTTAACCTTAATTTTTCGAGGTTATTACCTGTGAACTAAACAAAACATTTTGGAATGGCCGATTTATTTTCAGCTAACAGTATATAAGTCGAATAAAATTACAAAAACCTAGTTAGGGATGCGATTAGAATAATTTAATTTATTCAGAAACAGTTGTTCTCGACCATAAGCCGCGATGGAGAGATACAAAGCCCACTTGTGTGGTTATGAAGAAGCAGCAAGCAAGATTTGTAGTAGTTTTTATTGGTAAGGTGCTGACCTGCCAACTCGAACTTCCCGGAGGTTGAGTTCGCTTCCCACCGGGATCCTTGGTTGTTGTGTGCGTGAAACATTGTTATCGGTCAATTTTCCTCGGCGGATGCCGGAAAATGGGTGAATATTCTAAATTGTGATGAGCCGAATTAAGCGAATAATTTAAATTTTTAAAATTAGTAGTTTTTATGTACTCCCCACGGGCGAAAATGGTCAAGATCGTTCGGCCATTATTAATGGAGGAGCAATGGCACCTACGCCTCGGTTTATTAAAATATGAAAGGAGAGACGATTTCTTTTTTATATATTATAATAGTGATTGATTTTTAAACTTTGCGCGAGAGTGTTTTCCTCGACGTAATTTTGCTCATTATCGCAATGAATAATCCGTTCCGATATATCTATTAAATCACTAGGCAAAGTGCATTAATTATGTCGTACGTTAGTCCATGTGTAGATATATAATTGTTTCTGCGATTTTGTATTAATTATTTGACCGTGGGAAAAAGCAATTTCATTATCTCGGCAGTTCAGCAACACGATGCGGAAGACTGTCCGCGGATAAGCGGCCCGACAAGGCTCTACTGAGAGCCATTAAATTTACAAGTACCTAACTTATGTTAGAAAGTAAAACAAAGCAAGGTGTAGCCTTGGCGTTTAACAAAAATGAGTATAAAACTATCAATAAATCTAGCAATAAAAATCCAGGACCGTAAACCTTGCAGGAGTTGCAGGAAACAATCAATGCGGATATGCAGCGGTCGTTACACAATAGCGCCATGATTTTGCAAAGGGAAACGTGGGATATCTAAACAATTTCGCGGCGGCGTTTTGTATAAACGTAATATAAAAAATTCTTCTTCATTTGAAACTATACACAATTTGACAGGAGGGCAAAAATTCTCATCTCTGGCTAAAGGAAAATAAAGTGGTGCTAAAAAAATGTTAATGCTTGTGGGAGATTTTGGGGTAAGAATAGGCTTTGAAAAAGCCAAATACTAAGGATTGTCGACAGTCCATAAAGTAATCCAAAATATTAAAAAGCTCTATTGTTAGGTAACATGTAAATAAATTCGACAACGAACGATAAACATTTAAAAATTCTTTAAACAAAACACAACAAAAACACTAACTCAAAAGCCCTTTGGGAATATTGCAGTTCATATTTTTTTTTTCAGAAAACGGAAAATCTGATCAACTTTTCTATATACGGGGTGTTTCAAAAGGATTGGGCCATATAATATCATACCATATAATATATTCAAAAAATATAATCAAAATATTTCGATTTATCAAATAATCCAAAGTTTCAAGTCCCAAAGTCAAAAGTTGCGGAGATAGAGAGGGATAAAAGTAATTTTATTTTTTCGTTTCAACTTTCCAATAACTTGTAGCTGGCGCCAATATCACACTCTTATTTGCAAAAATACAATTTTTTTGTATGTATTCTCAAATGTAATTTCTGATATTTTCTAAACAAAATAGGTATTATTTTTCAATATCTGTATTTTAAGCGGTTTTGAACATAATATCTCAATGTTAAATACAAAAGTTAAAGATAAGAAAAAAATATGTTGGAAACCAAACATATTTTTAGATGGAACACCCTGTATGTTATTTCCTTCAATGATACCCCCTTTTATACTGAATCAGCCAATCTAGGGTTTTTGTGGTCTATACTGAGTGTTTTCGGATTCATTTTATTATGCCAACAATTTTATAAAGTAGTAGAGTCATTTATCCTATACTTGCCTTGAAGTTAGTTCTAATCGTTTATATAGGCTGAGTTAAAATGAAAACTATTAATTTTGATGAAAAAATCGAATAGAACACCCTTTATATTCCATTCCATTCCATTAATTACTCCACAAAACACCTATTTGAATTTATATGTTTTTAATTCTTTGTTTTACTATGTTTACTATGCGTGTTCACATGTTTATCTCGAATTCGTCTTAGAAATGTGTTTCCCATATCAATTGAGGATTTTAGAATTTCCACGAATGTCTGTTAAAAATACCCCTACATGCAAAAAGTAGCCTCGTCAATAAATAATGTTGTGTTTACAAAAGTAGGATTTTTATTTTGCTGGTTTCGTACAAAAACCTACTTCAATTTTATAAAGCATTAATTGAGAACCGAAACCTATGTTAATTTTATAAAATAGAAAAGTAACAAAAAAGTTAATAGCATATCTAGTAGTATATGCCGCTTCTTCGAAAAAGTAGCATCAACATTGAAATTTAATTGAATCCCCAAATACTTTATCATTGTTTTTGAAAAATACGCTAATATAGCTATTTTTATTTTCTTTATTTTTACATCAAAACATAGCTTGAATAACATTTAGGCTTAGGCCACCAGATGAGCCCGTTGTGCCTCCAGACCGCGCTAGAGGGCGCCCAGAATGCCGCCCCTCCTATAGAAGGTCAGCAACTCCTTTAGCCCAATACCGTGTACTGTGTCCGGATCGATTAGGGCCGTTCCGAAGACTCCAAATCCTGCCCATATCAAAGCAGGGCACTTGGTAAGCAGATCCTCTCCTTCCATGCACCACCTGCACTCCGGGTCGTTTCCAATGCCTAGCAAGCAAAGATGCCTCCTAAGCCTGCAATGTCCCGTCTAGTTGCTCTACACTCCCTTCTGGGCAGTCCAATCAGCTCTCTGGTCCAAGGGAGGGCGGGACCATCTTTCATAAGCCTCTCCTGTCTCATTCCCGGAGCAACCCTCCAGCCAAGGCCCGTTCTCTCACCCAGGCTTCGAGAACTCCCCGCCCACGAACGAGACGATCACATTTTCCATCCGTGATCTTCTTCTTGAAAACAGACAATTTTAAACCTCTGCAAAACGAACAAAATATATATTTTTGTTTTCTAAAAATCGGTTTTTAAGAAAAGCCTGACATTTGCATATGAAACTACCATATCCTTAAAAATATTTAGTTCTATTTTGAAGAAAGCGATAAAAAAATGCCGTAGGTCAGTCTAAAACTACGTAATATTATTGAGTTGTTCTTCACAAAGTTGATCGAAAACCAAAAACGTAACGAGGCCATAACAACGGGAACCAAAGATGCTTTAAATATTCACGCAACATCGGGGCAAAAATGAACATTAATTTGTGACCAAAAAAAATGTCAACCCGGCAAATTAAACTCATCAACAATTACGATTAAATGTAAATTATAGAGGTCGATGTTCAAGATAAACGGTTATATATAATTTTGAGGCGAGTTAGCTCTCGCTACAGTTTTGTTTTCTCGGGTGTATCTGCTGGAAAAGGTAAGTAAAAATATTCCTCGTGTTGAGACCGTTGCCACACGAGTTCAAGTAACATATAACGATATCAGCTTGTGCTTAACTAAGCTCCACTCAAGTCACAATTCAATAATAAATAATAATACCTTACAAACTAATGCGGTATTTTATTGGTTTGTGGGATTAAAAAACTAACTAGAACTAATTGAAACCTATTTGTGGTAGGTATTTGAAGGAACAGTAACTTTTATATAGTGTTTTTAATGAGACCTCTGAGTTCAAAAGTATTAATTCAATTTTGTTTTATTGCAAAAAATGTCGTTAAATGATGGTAAGAAATATCAGAAGTCTGAAATAATTACGTAATAAGAATAATAACAACATAACTCAAGCAAGAAAAGAATACAGGATGGGTATCATTTGAGTAACCTCTATACCGTTAAAAAGTACGATTTGCGATGGCTCCGTCGATCATAAAACCAAGAGAGAAGGTAAAGTCTGTTTATAGATATAAGAAAGTGACTAACTAATACAAATTAAGGGATGACCAGGGCAAGCCATAAGAATGAAACATGGCCGAACAGGTCCGTACTTTGCTTAGAATTTAATTTATTATTTATTATTATAAATCAGCGGTGGTGTCTTCATGGTAATCCAGAGAAGAATCTTTAATATTTTTCGCAGACAGAAAAAGTCCATTTGGAATCCAACTATCTTTATCTTTTACCTCTTTTTTATGGCGCTTTTGTTTTACACTCAATTGAGTGAACCCAACCCTCTTCCGCGCTATTATAAGTGTCGAACCAGGTTTCGTCCAAGTAAATAATTGGACTTTGTTGTTCTCTGTAAATCCAAATTTTTTCTAGATATTCCAGTGGCCATTTCCGAATTCTAAAAGATTCTATTAGAGCTTGCCTTTTGTCAATTTCTTTAAATCTAAAACCCATGTGTTGAATACACTTCCATAAGGTAGTTCTGCCACATTTAACACCGGTTTCATCTTTTTCAAGCCTCCTAATTAAGATATCTAATGTAGGCAAGCTTTGTTCCTCGTATAACTAGTAAATTTTACGCCGTATTATATCTTGATCACTTTCATCTACACTCGAGAAAATATCGTTCATTGAGAGTCAAATAAACATTGTTTATAACTTCCTTAGTCTCAATAGAATAGTGTTTTCTACATTTGGACGGGAGCATCTCCTGAGATAAGTGTATCTGGTGTGAGTAAGACACATATTTTGCATAATTCGCAAACGCTGTATTACACACGAAATAAGAATGATTACTAATAAACTTAAACTAAGTAGTATAACAAACCAAAGAATATTAAACACAGGTAGGTATAAAATTATTTTCTATTACGGACCACAATTTTACCTGATTTTAAATTCCGCAACTTTAGGTAAAAACCCTGGGATAATCCCATTCAAAAGCAATTGGTCACTTTCTATAATCCCATTCAAAAGCAATTGGTCACTTTCTTATATCTGTGAACAGACCATACCTCAGTATTTTATCTGCTTCCAATCATATACTAAGAATGGCAAAACCCATCCATTTTATAAGGTATGATATATTTTTTAATTTTCCGATTTTTTTAGTATTGTTTTAATTTTTATTGCATGGGCAGACTTTTCAGACAATAGTTTATTTAACAACTTATCATAATTTTTTCATGTAGATTCACCCACTTAAATCTTCGCATATCGTTAAGGAATATCTTGATCTATTTTTACATAGAAAATACATGAATCCGTCTCTGAGTATTGGTGTACTAGTTAAATTAATAAATGCTTAGTCTGTCTCAATCTTCATCGTGCTGGCTTTTGCCTGCAATCCAACGGCAACAAAACTCGGATCCGGTAGATATTAAAGGACAGAACATTAGAGAAAGACTGTCAAAGGTTTTGGTAGTAATATACTTTTTTTTTTTAATTTTTATTTTTTTTTTAATTTATTAAATTAAATCAAGAAAAACAATCACATTAAATATATACAATAAATTCATAGCTAGAGAGATTAATTACAATAGGATTTATGTTGTTTTGTATAAAAATATAAGAGTCCTTAATCTTTATACTGAATTTTTTCAGCTCTCAAAGGTTTTGGTAATAATATATTTTGTTTACTGGGGTGGGTATAATCCTATTTAATTACACTAAGAACAAACAATGACATTAAATATATACAACAAATTCATAGCTTAGAATGATGATGACATTTTTATTCTAAATCTAAATCTAATTCTGTTTCACCATCAGAGTCGCCATTGAGATTAATTAAATTAGGATTTATGTTGTTTTGTATTGAAATGTAAGAGTTCCCAATTTTTATAATGTGCTGCACTGAATTTTTCCTGCTCTCAATTGGTATGTTATTAATTACATTTTTATCAAATTTATAAAAGTAGGAGTAACAGTTTCTGTTCTGACTTTTAAAATACTACTGGGTTCCACAAATGCTCTATAGGATTAAACATTCAATGATATGGAGGAAGACGAAAAACAGTATACAGTCAAAGCCTGTTGAGCCAAATTATGGCATACATACTGTTTTCTAATTGCATATGAATTTAGGACTTCCAAAAGTTGCGCTTTTTTCTAACTGAATTCAAAATAAATAGCTTGCGTTATCAATGGCAATAACACTGTTATTGGGAATATTTTTGTTGAAATCCATTTTTAGAAAGTTCGGCACTTGTATACTCATGATAATCCAAGCTAGAATCCTTAGTTTTCTTTGTAGACAACGGCGATCAGTTTGGGACAAATATTGATGCGTTTTCATATTTTTGAAGGTTCTTTGGTCTTTTTGAGAGGAACGAAAACATGCTTTGGATACATCTATCGAATATCGAATCGTGTTTCATCAAGGTAAATTATGGATCTGTTGTTTAATCAAAAGCTTTTAATTTTGTGAAGGTAATAAAATAATCTGTGTGATTCTACTGTTTTTTTTTGCGGTACTTAAATCTCATTTTAAAAACAGCTGTATGGGGGATGGCACGGCTTATATTTATACTGGTTTCATCTCAGTCTTTCAGTTTATCTATGGTAGAAACAACTTCGCTTTGAAAAAGACCATATGTTTTCCTTATTTGCACCAAGCGACAAACGAAGCGACATTGTTATATTCTTGTAAAATATCTTTTTTGAACCGCTAAGTAAGTCCTAAAGTAAAAAGGATTATTCAACACTTCCACAAATGGTCACGAACATACACAATATTCAGAAACATTTCAGAAAGAAAGAAATATACCTTGCCCACTGCTACCTTGTCACTCATGTAAGAATACTTTTTTGGCTAATGACTTTACCCAATAGTAATAGCTAATAACATCGTTAAAGCTTTATTGGCGAGGGCCAACACGATGAAGATTGAGATATAATTCAACTGATTCTGTCTCTCTTACTTCCAAGTAATATAATGGTGATCGTTAGTGATGGCTGTCTTGCATTGATCAGATACACATTTAGGGCGGAACAACATCTATTGGAGTATCGGTGGAAGCAAGATGAACAATCTATTTTATTCTGTCTGACATTTTATTGCCGACAATCACAAATCGTACCGACTATAGCTTCTATTTTCTTACCTAATAAAGATGATTTTTTTTCCACAAATGCGGAAGGTTTTCGTAATATGCGGCTAGAATTTTCGCGACGCCCCGTATAATCGACGCCTATATAGCGACGAAGGCCCGCCCGTGAAAGGTAATTATTATTCTTATTCGCGCGTAAGAAGAAAAAAAAAACGACTTATTCAAGGTAGAAGTTCAGGAAAGGTCTGGCCGCCGGTTTAGTCAACTTTCGAACCCCGAGCGAGGGACAGCCGCGGGTACCCCACCATTTTTTTTACGAAATCGTCGCCAAAACACGATGACCCAAAGCGACGGCGACGCCGCCGGTGTCTCCGCCGTCCTCGTTACCGTCTCGTTGATATTCGCCTCAGCTGTTTTCCTGATCCTTAAGTCTCTGTACGACAAGAGGCGGATTTTCAAATTCGCCGCGAAAATCAAGGGGTTCCGGTTTTATCCGGTGGTCGGGAACGGGTTCCACATCATCGGGAAGAGTAAGTTTAACTGAGAGGTTAAGTTTCTCAAGTTTAATAATAATTCCGGCAAAATAGTGGAAATTTTCGCGAATCGATTTTGCATTAGACTAGTTTTGATGCTTCTTTTCTTACATTACTCGTTTATTATCTACAGGGCGACCGGTATAAGAGGTGTAAGGTGTAAATCCATGAGTGTGATAAAAAAAATTTAAAAACAAAAGTTGTTTCTGGTAAAATGATCAGTATTTTTTTGTATTATTTCAATTGTCGCTCGATTACATATTTATTTGTAAATATTTAATAGAATTAAATATTTTTTTACAATGGACCATCCTATATTTTATTACATTTTGAAATACCTCTTTGAAACACGAATTCAAAAATAAGATTTCAGGATTGATATTGCTATTCAATTTTAAAACACATTTAAATAATGACTGGACAAAATAGAAGAGAGGATCGAGAAAAGAAACCTGTAAAATTTTCATTCATACCTTTAAAGGTTTTTTTAGTTCTTCAGAATTTTGCAATAAAATCAGAGTAAGTGTTCAAATAATCGGCCGTTTTGTTGCACGTATAACATACATCTTTTCAACATTGCTTCTGCAACAACTCATAATTTTCCAACGTTTCCATTTCCTACTGTATACATAATTTTTGAGGTGATGCCATACAAAGAAATCAAGAGATCTCGCAGCCCATCTCAGGTTGCCTATCCAATTGTTGGGAAATTTTGGCATTTAAAAAGTTCCTCATAATCTGTGTACTGTGTGGTGGTCCGCCATCTTGTTTGAAAAACATATGCTGCAGAGACGCTAGTGAAAGGTTCATAGGATCTTCTGTTTGTACAAGGTTTAAATATCTCTCAGAATTTAAGGTGTTATCGAAAAAATATTGTCCCAACTACCTCACTTGATGCCTAACTTCATGAGCTAGCTGTGCATTTACATCTGTCCAAAATATAGTGTGCTTATGATTAATGAGTTCACAATTAGTAAATCGGGATTCGTCGGGCAAAACAACTCGTTAATTTTCTGAATAAACCTGGCACAATGCCATTCTTCTGACACTATTGCCATCCTGAAGTCCCTGGCACCGACGTTCACGATAAGGATGATATCTATGATGCTTTAAAATACTTTTCGTTGTTGACCAAGCAAAGCCTGTGGTCTCTTCAATCTGACGTAAAGATATAGGAAGTTTCTTAACGACGCTTTGCAACGCCAAATTTTCTTTATTTTCGTCTGGAGGTTTGTTCCTTTTTACCTTAGAAAAACTCCCGTTGGTGACAAGGTTGTCTTTCAGACTCGGTTGACGTCTTTTCGGATATTTATTTAAATAAAGTTCTTCGGCCTTTGCTACGTTTCTTCGGTAATAAAACACGTCACTATTTCAAAAATTAATTCATTTAAAAACTCAATCTCTTAACTTCACACAACTGAGACTAAGTGTTGACAATAATCACGAATCGCCTGGGATACGCTGGCATCGCCAACTTGATCGAAAAGCAACGCAACGATATCAAAACATATTTTTGTTATTATTCCGGATTTATCTTGACCAAACATGAATGTGTTAGACGTGGTCAAAAGTCATTTTTAAAGAGGAACTTGAAAATGTAGAAATTCAATATGGTGGCCATAAGAAAAACCAAAGTTGACTTCCTCCGTACGCTTACATTATTTTCACGCCATTTTTAAGCATAATAAGCAAAATATTGTGGTTTTCCAAAAACGGAAATTTCCCTTTTCCCCCCTGTATCGATTTAAAATAAAACAAAGCTAGATGTACATAATCTTATACTGGACACCTTGTATAATTATCTATATAACAGTCTCTAATACACCATTATTAGCGAATATCTTTGGGATTCAGGTTATATTAAAAACCTTTTTCTTCGTAACATATTTTAGAAAACAATACTTTTTTTCAGACAATATTCAACATTGAAAGATTTTTACCAAATACGCGGGGTTTCGCAAAATGTTACTTCTCTCAATGTTGGTGAATCAAATACCCCGTACAATTTTATATTTTCGGACAGTCCTCTAAAAGACGAATCCGACGCACCGTTTCGAATTTATTGATGATTTCTATCAATTCCCAAGCAATATTAACGCAATTACAAGGAGCCCCGATTTAAACCCACTGGACTTCTTTTTGTGGGGGCGCTTTAAGAGATAGTATGAAAAAAGCACATAGAAGTTTTTGCATTAAAACAATAAACTCGAGATACAATTTACCAATTAAAAAGATGGCATAAATCATTTGGAGGTAATATTTACCACTTGCATTATTCCAAACGGTGTACATGTGAAAAATTTAATATAAAGTTTTTAATTTTATTTATGAAAAGGTTTGTCAAATGTTACTGTTATAAACATAGAATAATCTGTATTTTTTACAGTATTTTAAATAAATGATTAGAGATACAGCAATTTCATAAAAAAATATTAGAAGAGCTTTCAGAATTAAGGTTAATTGCATTAACATTGCCTCGGAATTGATAAAAATCGTCGCTAAATCCAAAAAGGTGCATCGCAGACGTCTTTTAAAGGGCTATCCGAAAATATACAGGGTGTTGCTTTTTAAAAAATTGAGAGAAGTAACATTTTGCGAAACATTGCTAAAATGATAAGTAAAGCGGAAGTACACGGAAAAATGTTTTAAAGGTTAGTGTGCAACGTAATCGACACCTTTCCGACATAACTTTATTCCCGAAGATATTCACTAATAATGGGGCATTAGTCAATATCTTTGAAAAACAAATCAGAATTTCTGAAAAACAAGAATTTCAGGCAGAATAATAATAGAAATTGGCAGTTTTATGATTTTTAACATTACAATTACTGTTATCAAAATTGTTATTGTTAAATATCAGTCTTCTTTCTGAGAGAAATTTTGGCTTGTTTGCAAAAATTCTGACTTATTTTTTAAAATTCTGACTTATGCTTATATTTTTGACGGCCTTTCGACGTTCGTAGATCCCTACAAAAGTAAAATTGTCCAATATGGGTGTTCAGAATCCATTGTTTCTATTTTCAAAAGTAGGGTTAGAGACCTTTTGGGATCGCTAATTTAAATTTGCGCGTTCGCCCAGTTTCTCAAACCCGCGTAACCCATGGCTTGTGCTTGTGCGCAGCCGCACGGGAAAAGGAGGAAGTTTTTTGACATTTGAGATTCGAAAAGACACTTCCGCATGGTCCGGCGCCAGAAACAGAGCCGATTCCGCAAGTCCGCGAGTTTCAAGCGGGAGTGCAATAAACGGGGCCCGTCCGGAACCGACAACACGATAGCCTGCGGTAAGCCTCCACAGTGGGTCGTTGCCTATCGTGTTCGCTGTTTTTACCATTTCGCATCCCAAAAGGGTTAAGCCAACCGTGTACCGTTCGACCCTATTGGAACCCTTAACATTCTGGTCCTTCTTCTGCCTGATTATCTGAAAAAGCGCGTGGAAAATGCAGTCTATTTAGATTTGCTGACCATTTTGCACGTATTTGTACCTTGTTTTGCAGCAATCACGTTTTTTATCTCTGTTGCTCACCGGTTTTTTTGCACTCTCCGGACATCGTTTTTTGCTCGGTGTATCGCGCACTTCGCAACTTGCAAGATCGCATTTGGCCACAGGACAATTGAAGCAAACCACATTCGTTTGACACTCGTATACCACGAATTTGTTTGTTTACGTTTTCGCGTCTTGTATTCCAAGTTTCGCGTTCGAATAAATTGAATCACCTCCTTTTGGACTTATTGCCTAACCATTTGTTTTACCATTTTTGGATTGAAAATTGCCGCCGCGTCGCATTCACGAACCTTTTGAAAATACGAATATGTTTGTTTACCTTTGCAGGAGCCTTTACATTACATTTAAAAATGAGTGAATACACAGGCCTTACTAGACAGCAGAAGTCCATCCTAACCCGTTGTGAGAATACGCTCACAAAAGCGCAAATGGCGCAAGATACACGTGCTGACACGAAAGACTTGAAAGTTTTTCAACTGCGTCTATCGGACTTGGACTCTCTCATTACTCAATTTGATGATTTGCACTGTCAAGTATGCAGGTTAGATTTAAACGAGAAGCAGGAAAGCGAACAGGAAGCACTGGTAGCTTCATTTGACGAGATAAAATATTCTATAAAATCCATTGCTCGCGATCTTCTTCTTGATACATTCCCACAAAATCCTTCATTATCGCCGATGATCAGACAAGACCATACCACCTGTTTGGAAATTCAAAAAGTAAACGTACCAACCTTCAACGGGGATTTGAAAGCGTGGCCCACTTCATCGATTTATTCAACAGTTTAGTCCATGACAGCACCGAGCTCAGTGATATTGCCAAGTTTCAAGCACTGAGCATAGCCCTTGTCGGTGACGCCCAATCATCTATCCGCAATATTCCATTGGTCGCTGCAAATTACAGGATTACTTATGATTCCGTCATGCGTATATACAATAATAAGAGGCGCCTTATTACCAACTACTGGACTAACATTTATTCAGCACCATCCGCTAAAGCCAACAACGCTCGGGAATTGAGAAAATTGCTCTCGACCTTCCGGGAAAATTTCGAAGCCCTCTCACACTACAACGACCTCAACCTTCTAGACTTTGTTAAAATGAATATCTTCCTCCAGAAAGTGGATCCTTCTCTCAAACAAAAGTTCGAGATAGATTACAGCGGAATAGACATCCCAACCTACACCAACCTGTTTCTAGAAAACAACTGTCGTGCCTTGGAAAACTGTAATTTGTCAGACAACCCTGCTGATCCAATAGTCCCTTTTCGTTCTAGTGGTGGGAAAAGGGGAGGTAAACCCCCTTACAGTTTGACCACCCGAATCGATAATAGTTGTAGTTGTTGTAAGCAGCAAGGTTTCCACCCCCTAATTAAGTGCGACAAGTTTTTAGAGATGGAAATACCACAACGCTATGCCTTCGTTAAGAAGGAACGCCTTTGTTTTAATTGTTTTAGGGCTGATTCGGTGTCATCCTGTACACACGAAGACGTATGC